GGACTCAGTACTGTGGTCTGGTGGTCCGGTGTCCTCTGCGTCTTTGTAGTGTGGAACCAGGTGGCTGTACAGAGGCGCGGGGGGGGCGTGTCCAGTGGATTGCTGCCGGGGCGCGGGCTGATTTGGTGTGTTCCATGAGACTCGCAACCTCAGTAGGGTGTGCGTAGACCTGCCTGTCTGCAGCAGGCTGATTCAGTGTGTTCCTGGAAAGTCTAATTTCTTACTGTGTTCTCTCTGTAACTTTTTTAGATTCTCCTGGGTTGCTTCCTAAGTTTTGCAGCTGACTAAATTGAATCTGGCCCCCTCACATGCTGGGGGCAGATGATTAAATGCATAGTAGCTTTTAATAAATATTGCCTTTGAGAGTGATCCTTTTTCTGATTTTCTCATGACAAAGATGAACCTCTTCGAGTGTTTCTTTATGCCTCTGAATAAATTATCAAAATGAATTGAGCATATTTTTATCTCGGTTCCTACTAATATTGACACAACAACTATTTTTAGGTTGTTAAGGCAATAACCCCAACTGGAAAAGCTAGCCTTTTTTAAAACAGGAAAGGAAAAATAAAATAGAATCAACTGGAAAGGGATTTTGATAAATTCTTTTGTTTTTCTTCTGAGTCACACAGAAAATAATGGGAAAGAGAAAGTGGGGGGGCACTCATCAAAAAATGTTTTAAGAAATTTTCTGGCTTCTATTTCAGGGAAGGTTTGCCTTGACACTGCTAAGCTAGACAAATGGAGGAAAAGGAGATATGGCTCATTAGTAGGTATTTTTCTGCAAGGCCAATTGATAATATTTTCATGTATGTGAGATAATCAAGGACAAAAAGCAGTGTCACAAGAGGTGAGTTGCTCCCCGTGATGGCGAGGAATGCAGTTGATACACCAGGTCTGTTTTCTGTCAGCCATCCCCGGGTCTGCCACGTCCCTCCCACACAACTTCCTTGATCTTTCCCCCACTGACCTTCTCACAGGGCAGGTTCCTTACTGCGGAGGCTTTGTCCTAAGCTCTTCTGCTGATAATCTGGCTATGCTGTGCTAGAGATGAAAACTGCTGGAGGTAGGCACTTCAGAGAGACACAGCCTTTCTCCTCCTCTGAAGAGGTAATGGCCTTATTTAGGACAGTGGACATTAGGCCTTAATTTTTCCATACAAGTCACCAGTGGTCTTCCTTTCGCAGGCTCTAAAGGCAGGAATCTGTGTCAGGGCGCCCAGGTGGAAAAGCTGGTTCATTTCACAGGAAATGGTTGTGGCTCCAGGTGGGCTAGGCCTGCCAGCCCTCAGTCAGCCTCATTCATGGAGAGGGAGGGGAGGCAGGAAAGTCACACAATGAACTGTTGTAGCCAGCTTCATTTACTAGTTAGCCTTGTATTTTTGAATTTTTCGGGGGGCTATTGAAGTAGTAATTCTGACCATTAAAAAAATCAGGAAAAATATGAACAATTAAGGTGAAAAATCCCACAAAATAACAGGGCTAGTGAATTTTGGTGTCTTTCTATCTATATCATATTTTCTGAAAAGACAAATATAAATATTAAGCAAAGTATATATATACATATATTATACACATACCCTCCACCATGAGGCTCAAAGTGATGAGGTCAAGCAAACATGGACTGAAACCTCCGAAATCATGAGCCAACATTAAATCTCTCCTCCCTTAGGTTGTTTTTCTCAGGTATTTTGTCACAGTGACAGAAAGTTAACAGAGAAACCCTCCTTCATATTCCTCCTTATCACAGCAGGTAAAATAAAACTAGCTTTGTCCATTTCTGGCTAGGTACTTCCTATGTATTGAAATGAAACATAAATCATAGAATGATTGTGAGATTTCAGGACAAATCATACAAGCAAACCATGTAGTAGCAGAAGGGAAGGCAGGGGACAGCCTAAAGGTGCATAGCAGGCAGTGGTACTGTTGGAGGATTTGAGACTAACTAAAAAGTGTGAGGAGGAAATTATTAACAGTTCCTTCCATTTCAGCTGTATAACTCTATTCCAATCAATCCAGAGCCAGTGGTAAGGCAGGAGGCTTCTGTATACATTACCATCTGGAGAGCGTGGAGCACAGTACCAGCACTGACTTGAGGCCAAGCATTTTACTTAGGTTGCATGTGACCTTAGGCAAAGAATTACTTATCTTTTCTAGCCTCAGTGCCATTATGGGGATAATAAGGCCTATTTCACTGGGTGTCATAGGATGAAAGAAGTAACTTATCTAAGCCCAGAGCACAGTGTCCAATACATGCTAAGGCCACAGTAAATGTCAGCTCATTTGTGACCCCCGGGAGCACAAAGGGGCATCTGCAGCCAGCTAAGCTCTCCAGTCACTGTACCACATCTCTGTGGTATTTCCAGGCAGTAAAGTGACAGTAAAATAAATTCAATTCCTTCTCATCAATGCAGCTCGTTTAATTTACTATCCATCCTGTCAAGTGGTGTTTTTCTGAACCCAGATGGAAGCTAAAACCAACTAAGTAGAGGAAAAGTAACCCAAAAGACCAATAGAGCACATATCCATGTGGTTTTTTTCCCTTAAATCCTTTAATTGGTACATTTTAGGTATACAATATGTTTACATTTATCATTGGGTGCTTGTGTCTGTACATGATACATCCTGGTTCTTATTTGTTCCCCATTCCCTGTGCGCCCTCCACCCCCTCATGCATGTGTTTTATTCATCTTCCACTCACATTAGTCTCTGGATTTGACTAATGGAATATGATAATGAGTGGGATGTGGACCACGTAATCCCTGACGCCAAAGGCTGTGCTTTACTTAGGTCACATGTTTCTTGTTGTCAATAGCATTGGAACTTTTTAGAAATTTGGAGACAGGGTCTCATTACATTGCCCAGGCTGACCTTGAATCCATGATCCTCCTGCCTCAGCCTCCTGAGTAGCTGGGATTGTAGGCCTGTGCCCCCACACTTAGCTGCGTTGAGACTTTTGAACTTCTTCCTTCCTTGGACTCTGAGAATAGTTCTAGTTCTATTTATGTTCATTTATTTCATATTTAGACTACATTTTTAATAATTTAACTTGGATATTAAAATGTGAGCCTATTAGAAGAATGGGATATTTTCTCCTGTAGCTACCCTGGCTCCCCTTTCTACTCCTTTCACCCACAAGAGGTAAAACCCACCTATTTGAATATTAGATATATTATATGTTATATGTTAGTTAAAGGATTTACCCAGGATCTTAAGAGCAGAGACAAAAATGAGGACATTTCTGACCTATGCAGTTCAAATGCTCCCCAGTGACAAAGTCACTGCTGCCATTAAAGCAACCCTCTGCCTGTCTCCTTTGGCCTGTGCTTTGTACACTGGGACACTGCATTAGCCTTGTCCTTTCCTAAATGCTTGCCAGCAGTCAGCCTGTCCAGATAGCACAGGAATGGGGAGGCCTGGGACCTAAGGCAGGAGCTGCCTCGGAGCCTGCTGGAAGGAAGCAGGAGCCAGGGTGGCGCAGGCTTTAGCCCTGCCCCCCCATGGTTGGGTGGACAAGGAATATGGTTGCCATGGAAACTCCAGCAGCCATGTCAGGCTGGAGGGAACATTCCCTAAGGCTCCTCTCCATCTGTGTGTCCTTGGAGATCTCCCTGCCCCGGTGAAGTGTGGGGAACCACTTCCTCCAGGGATCTCCCCCAGCTCACTGACAGCATAAATGGACAGGGGAACTGTGTTGCCATGGTAGCAAGTCCTCTAGTTCTTCCATTCGAAGAAAGTCTGGCTCAAGGGATCTATCTGCCCGGTGCTCCCAATGGCAAAGTCTGCAAGGAACTGCGTTATCATACTGGCTTCCACACAGTCTTTCTGAGAGAGGGGTTGGCTTTGTGGGGTGGCAGCTGGAGGCTGGCAGGGAGTCTGGCTGGACAGCCTGTGTTCCCAGGGCCTCACTGCCATGGTAACATCCCCAGGGGCAGGGACCAGGCAGGCCTCACCAGCTAAGCTCCAGTGCTGCCTTTCAGGTCCATTCCTGTTTCCCTGTGTTTCCTTTCTTCTAACTCTCAGACTCAAGGGGGCTCCTGGTGTTTCTCCTCCCAATTCTTGGAGTCACTGTGGCAAAGCCTGTCCCTTGCTCAAGACTCCCCCAGGAGTAGGATGCTGTCCTTGCCTGTGCTTTGCCTTCCCTGTTGTCCACCAGAGTCAAAAAACAGAAACCGTCTCTGTAAAAAGGAAAATTTTGTATGCAAGATAATAGGGATAAGGAAGAATCGCAAGAATTAAAATCATGGGAATGTGGAAACAACTCTGTGTTCCTCCATGTGAGGGCATCCTTTCCTTTCAACACAGGCTGTCTTCCTGGTCCTGGGCTGGAAGCCTTTGGTGGAACCATGGTGGGCTTGGTGTTTAAACCCCAGGAGTTGATCATGGGTGAATCACATACTGTTTCTGGGTAACTGTTTCCTTCATTCTTTTCCTTCACTGTTTTACTAGTGCATATTGGATATACATAATATGGGTTTCATTTTGGTATACTTGTACATGCATATAACATACTTGATAGTATCTCCCCTATTACCTCACTTCCAGTCTCCCCATCTGTTTTCTTATCTGTAGAAGGAGAAAAACATCATCCTTACCGATCGTCAAATGAGATTCAAAATACTGAAAGTATTTTGCCAATACTCAGGCACTTTATTAACCTTGATCATTTTGGTAATTTTCATTCCCATAAGGCTTTCTTAACTGATCAATTCATTCAGTCATCAAGAGATGAATATAAAGCTCATTCTAATTCTTCCCATAAGGCAGCTCTGTAACTTCCAAGAGTATCACTTTTTTGCTGTGCAATGGGAAAACAATAGTTTCAAGGTGCTATTTTCTTTTTTTGGTAATGGGGATTGAACCCAGGGAGTGCTGAGCTGCATTTACAGCCCTTTTAATTTTATTTTGAGACAGGTCTAACTAAATTGTCAAGCATGGATTCAAACTTGAGATCTTCCTGGCTCAGCCTCTGAGTAGCACAAGCACGACCAGCCAAAAAGCGATTGTGGAGATTCAGTGGGATACTAAAGGTAAGTGTATGCAGCAATCCGGGCAGAGAGCACCGGCTCACCTCAGGCGAGCGCCATGATGGACTGCCTCCTTTTACTCTCATCATTTCTCCTCTGAGGGCTTGAGGAGCTAGCAGCTGTGGCTCAGGCCTGCCTCCTCAAGCCCTCTCCTACTTCCAAAGGCCGAGAACTAGCGAAAAGGTTAGGACTGTAAAATCACCCTTGAAGCTAGTGACTGTTCCCCAGGATCAGGTTTTATTTAAAATGACCTCAAGGGCGAATATTTGTCCCAATCCCCTGGAGCCTCAGTGGTGAGGGAGAGCACATTTGTCCCTGAATTTGGGAGCAGGAACAAATTGTTTGAGGAAAACTTCTCTTGGTTGCTGCCACTTCCCTTTTTTGCATCTTTCTGTCCCCTTGGACCAGCGTCAGTGCTCCCCTGTGACACTTCGGGCCACTCTGCCAGGCCTGTCCTCCCTGAGAGAGAGAAGCTAGGGCTCCAGACCTTCCCCGCATCCTCCCTCTCCAGCGTACCTGAAAACCACAGCGATTCCTTTCAAGCACAGCTCAGCGTTCAGCAGCCTAATCAATAATTTATAGATAAGACATTAAAAAGTAATGAACACTTAAAGCACTGCCCCTCCCAGAAAATATTTGTGCAGTTCCACCGGCGCCCTCCAAGGCTTCACTCCTAACCCCTGTGCAAGCTTTCATAACCACATCAGCCTGTGCTGGCTGGGTCCCGACTCCCTGAACGACCAACAAACCTACAGTGTTTCAGTTGTAACTGTGCTTCAATTATTTCATGTGCTAGTCTGTTCTCCCCAGTGAGACTGTAAATTTCTTAAAGGCAGGTTGTTTTTTTTAAATATCAATAGTATTTGGGATAAATTGAACTCTTAGTAAAAGTTTTACAATTGATGAATAATGGCGAGAATTTCCTTAACCAAAAAAGTGTCACAGTGAATTACATTTGTAAAGCTGAGTTCTCCTAAACCCCTGCTTGATTCTAACAACAGCTATTTTTGGGATTCTGTGTCTATGTCCTTCCTTCTGAATAGCCACAATAGAATGATTTTTCTTTTCAATGAGGGTTTTATTTCAAGTGGTTTATCTTTAAGAGAATTCTTAAGACAACTTTGTATAAATTTATACCCAAAGAGGGAGTTATGGGCCTGTAAATATACTGTATTCGACATGTCTAATTATTTCCGAGAAACCACTGGATAGCTTAGTTCCAGGAAGTCCAGGTTTAAAATAGGCCCTATTAAAGGAAGTGATGCATAATGGAATTACATCTTCCTTATTGATTAGATATTTTTAAGATATGCCTTTTGCCCAAAACCAAAGGACAGACAATAAGAAAACCATACTCTAAGACAGTTAAGCTAGAGAAAAACAGTAGGTAAAGGAAAAATAGATGTTAAAACCAGGTAGGTTATTTCAGTTTGGAAAGAACTCTTCAGACGTTGGACCCTTCCAGAAAGAAACAGTTGGTCTCTAGTTTTCTCGGGTATAAATTAGGAAATGGTAATAATATCCCACAGGTGTTACCAGTTGTCACAAGGGTCTATGAAGACGGAGCTGTTCTCAAAGGTAACACTCAATGTGTCAGCTTCCTTTTTCTGAGGGATAAATTTAAACTGCCCTTTAAAAGGCCGTTCATTCATTCACAGGTCAAAGGAACACCTTTTGTAAAACCAAAGGCCTGGCTTCCCTCTCAGGGCTGTCTGTAGAATTAGGCTGTGCTCTGCCACACCCAGGAGCAGGGGAGGCCAGTACCTTGGGTCCTCAGATGGAGACAGACAGGGAGGGAGGAGACACGGCCTTGGGTGCCTTGGTCCCCTTGTACTAAGGATGGGGAGTAGGACCTAGAGCACTGGTGCTGTGGTCTCTCGTTCTGATCCCCAACCCCCCTTCAGGACTGGGGCATTGTGTCTGTAGTTCCTGGGAGTGCTGGCAATTGAAAGTTATGTACCAAGTCCTCCGCAGGCAGGCAGCTGTCATCAGCTGAAGAGGACCGCCTTGCCTAAGCAGAGGTGTCTTTGCGCGTTGATAGCGGGAGAGGGGATATAAACCCCACTCCCTTGTCTCAATTTGGGCTCTGAAGGGCCATCCTGGCTCTCTTGCTTCCCATGTGATGCTGGTGGAGGCTTTCCCTAAGGCTGCTGCGTAGTCCAACTCCTCCTTTCTCCAGCCTAACTCCTTCTCTCCCTCATGAGCACTCTGCGGGAACGCTCCCCACAAGCTTCCTCACACAAAACTCCATCTCAGAGTCTAGGGCACCCAGACTGAGACTCTGTCTCTCACAAGTTGAACTAGGATTGGAAATTTTGACATGGTAGAAATGTGGAGCCTTACAAAGTGAGAGGCAAGGTCAGATGATTCTACAGATGAGGAACTGAGACCGGGGGGGATCAGAGGACTGGGGTCCACAGTAGACCCTGTGACATGGGCAGGTCTGGAACTTGGGAGCACGGATGACTCTCACCACACCCTTGCTGGGTCTCCCTGAGGATGGACAGGTAACTGGCAGGCAGGCAGGAAGTGACCTGCTCCCTTCAGAGAAAGAATGAACCCATAGAGGGCCTCCCTGCCCATTCCTGCAAATGGGTTTAGGGTTGTGTTGAGAGGGGTGGTGAGGAGGTGTCTCCTGGCCCCTGGTCTTCCTCCAGCTTTTTCTTTGATGTTATGAAATAGATAATGAATGTTGCAGAGATAAATGAGGCGCTAAAGAACACTCTAGGCTTCTGTAGCTCAGGTGGCCCCATAATAACAGTCCTGGCAAGGAAGGCTGCTGCCTGAGAGCAGCAGTAAAGGCATCCTGGGCTCAGGCAGTCTGCAGAGTGAGTGTATGGAGCGTTCCGATTATCACACTCTTATTGCTTAGTGGGGCATTCTTACAAAGTGCTTCATGGGCACGGATTCGTTTCCCAGGACATCACTCACCACATGGTTGCCTGCTTTAGTGAATTAGTCTGAACCGTCCCAGGTTCAGAGCTGACCTGTGATGCAGTCTTTCTTTTCTTTCTGGAAAATCCCTCTGTCCCTGCTTCCTAACACAGTGTCCGTGGGTGGAATTCATTCCTGACACCTTAACCTTCAGCCAAAAAGGAGGAGGTGGGTCCTGAATGATCCTGAACCACTCAGATATTCCCATCCGTGTCGCTATGGAGACTGTTTTAGGGAGCACCCTATTTCTAAACCCAGGACAGTCAGCACTCGCACTGCCCTATCTCAGTGAGTGGTTCCAGGTGGGAATGAGAACTGCATCCGGTCAGGCAGAGTGGGAGATGTGGTGGCTGCCTGAAGGTCTCCCTCCACAAGGAAGGAAGTGGAGAGAGGAAGCGGGGGCTTGATCACCCATCTGCTCATCGAGTCCTGAAGGAGTTAGCCTGAGAATGAACTGCAGCATGGAGGAAGGCAAGTGGAGACTGATGCGGAGACTGCACCAGCGCCTGATAAAGCAGAGGTGCAGAGGCACTCGCACACGCTCTGCACTTTCTTTGTTTCTTGGTATGCTTTGAGTTGGTTTTTCTGTCTCTTGCTGCTGGATACATCCATTCACTGTGCTTCTTATAGGAGCCGTGTCCTCTAGCTGGATTCCTCTCTGCACAGGCTCAGTCAGAACCACGGGAAGAGCAATTCCAGACAGAAAGCAAAAACAAAACTCTTGCCACAAGGAAGCCAAAAGGCCAGCTCAAAGATGCACCTGAATGTGGGTTTTGCCTAGCAGTTTCTGGTCAACCTAGCCTGTTCTCAAGGCCTCAGTTTGTGGACCATGTGTGTTTGTCAGAGTGTTTCTATGTCCCTTCATGGGTATCCTCAAGGGCAAAAGTAGTGCGATATGCATAGGACTTGAATAAATGTCTTGCATTCTGTAGATGCTTCATAATTAGAGTTAAACACAAATAAGTTAAACTCCTATCACTGCTGTCAGCACTTCTTCTAAGTTGGGAAGAAAGGTCATTCTCCATGCTGCTGTTAAGTTTTGGAATAAAGAGAAAACTCCCATGGCCAAACCGCTCGCTCTCCTGTTAAATAACCGGCGATTGCTGCAGGGTCTTGCCTGGAGCAAGTGCTCAAATATCTGTTGAATTAATTCACTTTCAATTTGGGACCACAAAACTCAAATGGTCACTTAATTTCGCACAACTCTACTGTTCTTCAAAGTTTAACTTTCGTCTTTCTCCTGTACTTCTCCTACAGACGAAGAATGGAGATTGCAGAGTTTGGGGCAGAGGGGAAGTAGGGAGGCGATGGGCTAAGGATACCGGAGTCTCAGGTGAGAGTTAAGATTTGTTGGCTCTATTGCACAACATCAGTAACGTCGTTCATAACACTGTGCATTTCAAAACGGCTCAGAGAGTGAATATCAAATATTCTCATCACAAAAATTAGTAAGCCAGTCGCGGAAGAAGCCGAGTCACCCCGCTGCAGACAGGCAGGTCTGTGCACGCCCTACCAGGGTCCTGAGTCGGGCGGAAGACGCCTAATCACCCCGCTGCAGACAGGCAGGTCTGCCCATGCCCTACCGAGGTCCTGAGTCGCACAGAACACGCCGAATCAGCCAGCTGCAGACAGGCAGGTCTGTGCACGCCCTACCGAGGTCTTGAGTCTCGCGGAAGACCCCGAATCACCCCGTTGCAGACAGGCAGCCACCTGATTCCACACTACAAAGACACAGAGGACAACAGACCACCAGACCAAGGTACTGAGTCCCACTGTTCCCGAGCCAGAGGTGGGGGCTTCTGAGCCATTGTCCCACTGCTCCTGGTCCAGAGGAAGGGGCTTCCCGGTCACCATCCCTCCTGCTGCTCCCAGCCCAGAGGAAAGGGCTTTTGGGCCACCTTCTGTCTCACTGCTCCTGGCCCAGAGGAAGGGGCTTCTGGGCCACCATCCCTCCCACCGCTCCCGGCCCAGAGGGAGGGGCTTCTGAGCCACCATCCCACTGCTCCTGACCCAGAGGAAGAGGTTTTCTGGCCACCATCCCTCCTGCTGCTCCCAGCCCACAGGAAAGG